CACCTCAACCCTACTCCCCCGTGACCATACCAGTCACATTCTAGCTGACCGCCCCATTGGGCGGCGGGGGACAAGTACATGCAGCAAGTGAATCAATCCCATCGCCACGCACGATCACAATGCCTCAACAAACAAACATATAACGACCACCACCAAAAATAGCATCAACAGCACAACAACGACAACGACAGCACACCCTCTCACAAAAAGGAAGGGGTCTCAAATAAAGTACTCAGCGTGTGGACGACCGCCAGAGCTCTGGAGCTAGAAAACGTCTTTGGCAATATCGTATTTCTGGCGGTACACCGCCATGAATGCCACAGTTTTGTTTCGCGCGGTTAGTGGTAGTGAGTAAACTAAACCACTTCACAATACATAACGTAATACGGACAACCCGCTCCATGACATGCACTATAGAACACTCCCCTCCTTGATCATTTGGCCCTCAGATAATTCGCTCCGCTCTGGGATACATTTGAAATAAAAAAGAAACGAAAAAAGTGTAGTTCCGCTCCGGTCCTTGATACAGTAGTGAAAACGAAGAAGACAGTCGACGGAGAGGTTCGACTCCATAAACACCCTTGAGAGCATACCGCCCTCCACTCCACCACTGCGTGAACTTGGTACGCTCGTCGTACGCTTGACCCGCCGTCTTCCTTCCCCACACACTGGCGCCACGAGCAACGCACGCAACCCTGTGCAGTAGTCGTAGAAATAGCATCGCCCCTCAAATTTCCACTTCTCCTACTTTCTCCAAGGTTACAAGGCTTCCTTGAGCACGGGAAGTCCCACACTTTATTCCTGGTACGGTAGAGAAGCCGGTAGAAGCCCGTTTTCCGGATAAAATGCCGGTGACATCACGAGGCATAGGTTGACCACTCAATGTATCTCGTATCACAAGTGCCGGATTCAAACCTCACACGTACTGCCGGGTAAGCAGTGTACGGGGGGGTGTGCTTCCGTACCAACTGGCTGGGTGGTTCAAGGAGCATCTTGCCGTACCCCCTCTTCTTTTTCTCGAACTCGACACTTTTGCCACGCCCAGGCACCGGCTCCAATTATCATAGCGGCTGCCACACTGGACACAACACCAGCAATAATTTCAGTTTCTACATCATCTCCGTCATCTGAGGAGGAGTTAGACGACGAAACAGACGGCGGCGGTTGGATACATGCAAGGCGTGAGCTCAGAGTACGAGTACCGGAGGAAAACGCCAAAATGGAACATGAACAGAGCATGACCTACTGCCTGGCGTCCAGAGTAGACCGGGACGACACACACACAACGTGCGAAGAAAAGGTGCCTCATGAAGAGAGCGAGAGGACCTTAACCCATAAGAAATTCCATTGCTTGGTCAAGACATATTCGGAATACTGTAGTCTATTGAAGTCAGAGCCGGAAAGTGGTCGACGGGGGATGTTCCACGGAAATATCCACTCACCACAAAAATACTCACTCACCGCGAAAATATTCACTCACCGCAGTACAGTAGTAGCATGAATTTACTCCAATAGTATTCACTCACCGCTTGTATCGCAGCACTCGGCCTCCGAGCAGGTGGCCGCTTCGCAGTAGTCCGGTAGCTCTTCCTTCAGAGGTACACCTCCACTGCACATGTCGGCCGTACAGATTTCGTCTGCAGTGTTCCGCGATCATGATTTCGGGAAGGAAGCGTCCAAGCGAAGGGCAAAGGAAAACGATCGTCTCGAACGCCGCGCCACTCAACTCAAACTTCTGTGTACTCGTGGGATGGCAACCCGGCCTTGTATTAATAACCCACGTAGATTTGACATGGCGTAATAAAGACTACAATACAGTTTAATGGGCTCAACGGAACGCAATCGCGTGTATGGAAGGCGCAGTGATATTTCTCACCTAGTGTAGTAGAGCGACACAGAACACCAATGCTCGTGACGGCATAGCCGAAGGAACCGTCGTATGAAGTCGTAGAGCCAGCTTCGTCCATTTCATACGAAAGGCCATACACGTATTCTCCTTCGTCGCAGGAGGCAGTTGCTTGGGCGATGGCACCAGAAAAAGTGTTACTGAGGCCATGAAGATGGGTGAACAGCAACGAGCACGTCGGGCACACTGTTAGTATACGACTGTCATTACAACACGACTTAAGCAATCGTGAGAGTGAACGAGTTGGTTCTTCGAGCACGACGTTCGTTCGTATGTACAACACAACAAATCTGCAGCATCGGTTGGCTGAAAGGATTCCAAAGAATAGATTCGCAAAGCAGAAGCCGAACATCTGGTACCTTTACCGATTTCTATGTATCTACAGGACCGGCTTGTGTTGCAGGCTCCTGCTAGACAAGGTCATACTTCGCTTACATCCATAGCAGAACGAATGCTTGGTTGGTGTGCACCACTCACTCATCAGCAACAGTTTGCGCCGAACCGTCCGCGCAAGAAATGGTGGCGTTGGTCACGACTGTGGTAGAGTAGGGTAATACCCCGGCCACGGAGACTTGAAACCACTCGATCGACTCCACGCCAGCAGTCCCCGCACAGATGGCATCGGATGGAACTCCACCTTGACCGTCTCCTACCTCCAGGTTGTAGTCCGGAGGAACATACTCCTGGCCACCACCAGTGCAGACTATCTCTATCCCGTCGAGCCACCACCCAGAAAATGCGGACAGGGAGTACACCCTAGTACCGGAATCGCAGGGCACGTTGATGCCGAGCGCGGGGTACAGCACCGCCGCAGCAGCAAGCAGGACCACCCAGGGGGCGGCGCAGCGAGCGACCGATATCATCATCGCTGCTTTGGTCGAGATTGAAGCGAGCGAGTAGGTGAAACGCGATTAGGGTCATTCATTCGACTACTGTACAAGAAGAAAGAACAGCAGCTGGCAATGCGCGCCAATGCTGCTGTTTGTCTGCTGCTGTGTATCATATGCATGTATCAGTCATTTAGCTGTACAGCAGCCAATCGCGATCATTACCATGGTACCAAGTGGTAGGCAGGATTGATGTACAGGAATACAGGAAGAGGACATATTGGAGAAGTATATGAACGAGATATCCAAGTACATTCTCCCAATTTATCATGAGGCGAGATCACTATTTTCATATCTTAAAAGGGGTGGAGAGCCGACGACTGTAGTCTAGACTACGTAGAGTCTTCCTCCCAAGAACGGTATATATGTCGTGTGGTCGGCCAACCAGACTTGCACGCGCACTCCTGGTGTGTGTGTGCAAGAAAGCGCCTGATGCATGATGAAAAGAGACGAAGGGAGCGGACCAGTTTTCTGCCCAAGTGTGAGGAAGTAGAGATTGGATCAACTGCTGCTCGACGCACGAAGTACGGCCAAACCCAGTGTTGTGGCACGGGGCCAAACAGCGAAAGAAATCCAATCTCACCTGGAACCGGTGTGGTGTAGCCGAGACGCGAGTTGCGAGTGTCGAGGGAACGGTGGTGTAACACAGCACCACCGGTCGGTATCTGCAATCGCCAACGGAGAACGGCGAGCCCTCTCCCGACAGAGAGAAGCACGTGAGAACTGTCGAGCGGCCTGATGAACACGGCAGGAAGGGCGACGGGTCAGACTCCCCGCACTCTTGCACGCAACACAGGATGATGAGGTCACAGGTATCCACGATCTGGTACTCTGCCGCCGTGCTTGGCACGGGTGCCCCTGCGATGGAGCGAGGCTGCGCGTTTCACCTGGATTCTACAACAATCCGAACAAGACCTTTGAGGCACACGCAGCTCAATAACGCCGCCGGTGTGCTGTACCCAGAAAGGGCTCGGCGGGGGTTAGGAGGGGGAGTGACCCCGGTGGGGTGATGGGGACCTCGGGGCAAGGTGAGCCCGAATTGAATTAAATCGCATTGTGCCGGCAGGAGCGTTCTCAGAAAGAAGCTGTTGGCAACGCAAGGTGCTGGGGTCGTTCTCTATGCAACGCGAAATCTTGGAAACTTCTGTAGACACGTGCGTACAGGACAAATTATTCTCACAGTCCTTAGCAAGGCAGCACAGCGTGTGGTTGAGTGCTCGCAGGCTTCAGAGGGCCAAGGTGTCCAATCTGTGCTTGAGTGGTTTTGTGGTACAAGGTACAAGGTACTAGATGCGGGTAGAGGGACCTTCTACATGTACCATCATCATGGTAAGACTACGTATGTGCATGTATGTAGTGTATGCATGATCCGAACACTGGAACGGAGAATAGGAACACCGGCCCTGACGCAGCTTGGAGCCAGGGTCGAACCTGCCCTGCTGCTGTAGACCAAAATACACAGGCACTACCCCCTGCTCTTTCTTGGCCCGACCTCTCGAGAGTGAGCAGCTGTGGGGTGGGTGTTGGATACATAACTTCATTGGCTTATAACTCTCCAGAAAGAAAAGTGCTCCGCCTGCGAGCAGCCCCGCCCACCCTTGCGCCCGTTGCCCCGCGGGCCGTAGGCTGCAAATGTCGTTGATCGACTGTTCCACATGCCGCCGTGTCAGGTGTCCAGTGTCCGGAATGGTGATAACGAGTTCGCAAGACCACGTGACACGCAAGCCGCACGTGAGCGATGGACGGATGCACACGACACTCTACGCCGTGTTTCGGCCCTTGCGACAAGCACCATGGTGAGCTTCCCTTGGTGTTTCTCTGTCGGTTCACCAGCAAACTTCATCAGCGGCACATGCACTATGAAAATCAGTCTGCGAGTGACAGACGGGTACAGTGGTACCGTAATACACTAGATCATCGCTCGACAGTACGATACGTGGCGGGAAACGGGCCCCCCTGGCAGGATGTGGTGTGGGAAAATACATGGTGTGCTCGTTTCCTGACATTCACTGCCAGTTCCTACAGTAGAGCGAACCTTGCAGGTGCTTGCCAATGTGCGGAACTACACCGACCTTGGGCACAGCGCCAACCAAGCACTACATGCACGTATCGTCGTATTACATGGAGTCTCGGGCAGGCAGCAACAAGAGCTCCCAACAGCCCGCTCTGAGCTCTGATGCATGTCGGTGCATCTCCTCGACAGCCGTGCCAAAACTCTTTTTTTTTGCTACTGTCGGGGTGCGTACGGTGGCTGAGCACCGCCTAGGGCATATACGAAAACATACGAAAACTGTGCCGGTGTGATATCCGGGGAATACAGAATCGGCGATTTGACGTACTGTGTCCCTGACTCTGTGAAAAGTACTGAGTGAACGGATACATCAACAGCACTTAAATCTTGTTAAAGAGGCACCTCTGCTCTGGCGACAGTAGCCGTCCAGCTGCAGCGCAAGCAAGCACGACAACATCAGGTATCGCTAGAACACCAAGGCGCGTGGAAGGACAACGTCCGGATCTCCAAATCGAAGATCGCAAGAATCGAAGTTGTGCTCTGGCTCTCATGGACTGAAGAAAGGTACACCAGCAAATACACACTGCTGTCTACTGCGGGGCGGGCGCGACTACTTTCTTGTACTCTCTGGGACATTGTTGCAGGAAAGCAGGGCGCGGCCAATGACAGTAAAAAGGCAAACTGTAGGCCCAGCCCTACCCGTGCGTAGCCAGTAAACGGTCCACGCCCAACATGACATGTACATCTACATTTTGTGTCGGCTTGAAACGGCATGACGACATGCACCACCCCCTTGCACTGACTCAGGATGCTAGGCTTCCATAACCGGGGATGCGCTCGATCTTTGCGAATTCCCACTCCTGCGACGTGGTAAGAGCGGCAACGAAGGCGGGGGGCACCAGTGGCCGAAAAAGGTAAACGGTGTGTCGTGTGCACACAAGAGTCAAGACGCAGAATATCGGCAGATATTTGTATTTTCGATTATGACTGCTGTGATGCGGTGTAGGATCGACTGAGCTTGTATGTAGGCGCTGTTCCAGAAACAAGCCAAATGGTACCTTGCGAGTAGAGATTCGAAGAGTGGATGCCCTTCCGCGGTGAGGAAGGGGAAGGAAGACTTGCAGACGCACGTATCAACGCTCCCAAGCGCCTTCATTCACGGCAATACTACAGATGAACAGCACGTTCATTACCAAGGCAGCCCGATCCTAGATACAGGCCGACGCCGCTAGGCCACACAACACCAAGCACGCGGAGCGACCAACTACCGTACAACCAGGTTGTGGGAGAAACGAAGCGGGCAGTGACGCGCACGGCGAAATGCTTCAAGACTTGCGGCGCACCTTGTTGCACAGGGGGCACACGGAGCGGGTCTTGAGCCATCGCTGGATGCAGTCGAGGTGGAACACGTGACCGCAGCAGCCGAACGCGATCGATAGCCCGTTCTCGTTGTTTGGCGATGGGTTCGCCTGTTTGCGGTAACCATACGTAGCACAAGAGGACGAAAACGGGTATGGATCAGGGCCCGGGATTATCTCGCTAAACGGAGTGCCAGGGTCTGAGTTTGACGTCCATGAACCTTGACATGACCACTGGTTCGTACGACCCTGACCGCCGCAACGAAAATACACTTCGAAATATATCAATATTCCCGATATTTAACAGAGTCGGATAGACAGAGGAAAGCCTAGGATGAGGTGCATCACCTGGTACTCAATGCTGGGCTCGTTGAGGCTGTTGCGGCAGATGGCGCACGTGTCGGCGCAGATGTCCCACGACCACATGGCCACCGCGTTCCACTTCTTGATCTCGAACCGAGGAGCCACCTTCGACGATCCACGATTGTTCCGATTACACCAGCATTCACAAGAAGCCACAAAAAAGCCGTGTTGTAGATTGCGGCAAAAATGAACCACGCTGCAGTCATGCAAAACGGGTGGTAGGCCCACAGAGGTATATCCATCTATCGCCGAACAAGAGGAGCTCTACGTGGTTTTGTGCTGGCCTAGTTGTCAGCGCGTGTGTGTGCGCAGTTCATGTGGCACATAGGCCGAGGGCGAAGCCCAACCATTCCGCGCCTTTGTCTCGTTGATGAGGCATTCTGCTGTTGTATTTACCCACGACTACTGGCGTAGCGTTGTTCTCAAAGAAGGTCGTGGCCGGTGCGGTTTGCGCTCATTTTGTACACAGCCAAGTTAAAACAGAGGAAAGCTCTTCCTAGTTAGAGACATTCATCGTGAAAAACCGCGAGGTGTTGGAGATCTTTTAGGACACCCTTTAGGAGATCCTTCGTAGTCCTTCCACACCTGCCCTATCCCAGGCTCCGGTCCCTTGCCCGACTCGCCCATCACCACATCTTGAGGCTCTTGCCCCTTCGTTTCTGCCGCCATCTCGGCCCTGGGGAGCAACTGCTGCTGCTGTTGCTGCTACTGCTGCATGCACAAAAGCAAGGACAGTGGTACGCATACAAGGGAAAAACAGTTCAGCCATTGAACGGCCGGTGGTCGAACACGTTGGACGCAGTGCGGTGAATTCGGTGCTCGCACACGCTCGTCTCGCGAGAGGGTTGGGCATCAGGGCCATCGAAACGAAGGCGCGGAAACTGCATAGTGTATGTGTCTGGCATATGAGCAGGTAGGTAGTCAACGTAGCTCAGTTGGTACAGTATCCATATCCTCCCAACCTTCGCAAGAGTGAGACGTGAGTCGGATGGCTCCAACAATGCTGGCAGGCGTATCGTAGCCAACGGCTCCCCCTCTTATCATCCCCGAACTTTCGCTGGAAGCCGCCGTTCCTACTAAGGCACACAACTCGACGCATGAGTATGTATAATGACTGCACTTGCCTCTATGGTTCTTGACCCTCGCAGGACCCCAAGATGCACTTGTTAAGGACGCCCACAATATTTGTGACGGTGTCAGCCCCAGTCACACAACAGTGGTGGCCACAAGCATGGACATCTTGTTCGAAATGATACTAACCAGTATCATCCCAAACCTACCCTGGTGTCAGTAATTATTAACCCCAACCCCAAACGATCCACCTCCCTATCGGCCGCCAGCAACCGATACGTCAACCAGCAAAACTATATAGCGGTGTCGCCAATTGGTTCCAGGCCGAAGACCACTTGAATAGAGATGTCAGCGAACGTTGGAGGAAGAAGCGACAAGGAATTGCCCGCGGTGGCGTCTTCGTGGGCACCTCGTAATCACGTCATCACCAACCTCAAGTACACATCTGCTGCGCAAGGAAGCCTACCCCGCTCCAGCCACGCTTGAACCGCTGACAATCCTGGCGCGCATCGACATAGCGAACCGACCTTCGAGGCTCGAATATGTCGATTCCCGCGAGGATAGTCAGCGATTCAAGCATACTGTAGCTGGGGCAGGGTAGGCTTTCTTGTGCAGCCGCTACTGTTTACTGTAGGTCGGTGACATCGAGGTGCCCCCGAAGACGCCACTTCTGTACATGCGTTTTTGCCCTTTGCGGGAGAGCGATGGTGTAGGTATGACTGCTGTGTCCACGGCACGACAACAAACACCTCCATTGTCGCCGTCTTACCCGCCTTGCACAGATGCTGCGCAAGAAGGCCTACCCCGCCCCAGCTACAGCAGTACTGTATGCTTGAATCGCTGATTTCGCTCGCACGCGCACATGTCGCGACGACTGACCCGGCCGCCCCGCGTGCCCTTCTGGCGCACGCGGACGGGCGGCTCAATGTCGATGCGCGCGAGGGTAATCAGCGATTTAATATTAGCTTGGGCGGGGAAGGCTCCCTTGCGCAGCAGCTGTGAAAGGTAGGTAGGTCGGTGACATGGAGGTGCCCGCGAAGATGCCACCTTCTGTGGACATGTCATCTTGCTCTATGCGGCGGGGAGCGATGGCATGTACATAGATATGACAGCGCTGTGTCGACGGCGGAGAAAAAAAAGCAAAAAAGGCCGACAGAAATGAAAGCATGGAGGGTATCAAGACGCCCATTTATAGCTTCACGTTGTACAGCAAGGGAGCCACTACAGCGGACAGTTCGTAGCGGTACTGCTGTAAGCGTGGGATGTATCGTTTGAAATCTGTCCGCTCGTATTTGCAGAGATACTGCTGTACAGTAGAGACCCAGGCAGACGTTCAAAATGAATTTGTGTCGCCGACGGCAGCAGCACACCTCGCCGGGGTTAGAATATGCAGCTTATCTGAACAGGAATAAACAACAGCGCCTTGGCCGACAAGCACGACTTGCCTTTCCTTCCCTTGGGGCGTTTGAGATCCCTGAGCGGCGCTGTGCGTGGCCCTTCCCTCCTCCTCCACCAGCCTTAGTCTCGTGAAACGATGCTGACCGGCCCTATCGATGTTGCCGGAAGCACCAGCCTACACTGGAAAATGGAAAGACTCGACGACCCCAATAACCCGACGAATATCTGGAGTAGATTAGTACTAGTTCACTGCTGTGTCCTTGGCTGGTGAGTCGCACGGCTTCCCTTTTGAATCTGGTGGCTGCTCTGTTTGCCTCGTGATTGGTTTGGTCTCCGACTTTCCGACATGAGGACGCGGAGAAAAGGGGCGACGCGAGTTTCAAGAAAAAGACCCACCCCCCTACACCCCAGGAGGAACATTTTGGCCGGCAACGCAAAACAACAAGGAAGCACATCGCATCTCTGTCTGCTGTGTATAACGCTGCCGAACTATGGTCAGTAGAAGGTCGGTAAAATCAAAATATCACACAGCAGAGGAATATTCTGATTTAGCATAGATAGGCCGGTTGTCGGGTATTCGCCCGCGGCCCCTTCGTCTTCTGTAACAACTAGCGGTAGCTCGCTTAGGATACCACACCCCCTGGGACGGTTTTCGAAGCGCGATTACTATTGCACCAAAAATCGTGAGGGTGCACAAAATGGCGGCATTAACCGCCTCATCGAAACCTTTCCGACAACGTAGGTATAATATTACACTAACATCCTCTTGATGGTGGAGTAGTCGAGCTTTGAAAATCGGTCAAGCGGGTGTGGTATCTCGTGTCACCTACGATGTGCGGATGTGCGGCCTCATACCAGCTACTGTTGTGTGTCGTGGCCCATTGCTGCCTCTTGCATCTATTTTCGATTTTATTGTTGTGACTTCGGTTGTTTGATCTGCGGTGTTTTTTTGCTGGAGATGGACCCCTTTGAGTGCGCCGTCCAACATCGCAAATGAACAGAATTGAAGGAACCGGCCTTGGAGAAGACAGAAGAAACACATTGCTGCATTACCGCTCTCTCTTACCACAAGTGAAACGGCACGACGATACATTAGCGCAGCCATAAACAACATATCTTCGCAGCATGCAGCCGTACAACAACGTATCTTCTCCATATGCATACATGCGTGCGAGAGCGCCAACATCTACTGTACGCTTCACACCCAAACCGCCATGTCTCCAGCGCCGACTACACAAACAACAATATCAACCATCTACTTCACTACGTCGTCACGTGTACCACTAGAGAGACTCCCGCATGCAGCCCACACAAACATAAAACCCTTTGGGCCGTAGCGCCCTCTATCTGTTCCGCACTAAACTCCTATTATTGTACGAGACTTAGACTTCCGCCCCGTCGATGCTACACGTCATATTTCGTCATGTCGGAAATGGCTATTTAATAGTCTACATATGCATACCTACGACGACTTCACACAGCAAGATGAAAAACGCGGGCTGCGCGCCAACACACACACACAGATTTGCACGCGCGCTCGAAACTTACTACACATGCTGCGAGAACCGGGTTCAAACGTAGCGGCCAAAAGCTGAACCCCAGCGAAATCTTCCCGCCTTGCGCTAGCCTCCAGAGCGAAGCCACTGGTCACGATGATGGGGGCTCGCGAACCGACGCGCTCAGACAACGCCATGAGGTGTGTACGGCAAACTTATCCAAATCGAAAGGCCCAACCTTTATCTCACGCCACCTGCCGTCATGTGGATCGCGCTGCTGTACACTGTACGCCAGCGTACGTGGGTAGAAGAGATGCGCATTTCAACCGTCAGGAGAGCCGTGTGCCATATATATGGGGAACAAGGAGCAAAACACACACCAACAAAAACCATCCATCATCTAGCTAGGTGAGGAGAAAAATGGAAAACAAAAACAGACCGCTGAACTGCTCTCAAACCCCCGCCCCAACGATAGACGGTATAGAACAAAACGGGCGCGGTCGTCCCAAGCACAACACTATCAACATGACGCCATCATCATCTCTGCGAAGAATGGTCCGAATTGAGCCGGCAGATGGCGTGATGCCCAGCTCGGTAGTACCTTTCCGTCCCGCGAGCGCGCGTAGCGTGTAGCGTGGGTAGTAGGTCTAGCTTCCTTTGGTTTTGGTTGCAGGCTATACGCTGCACGTTGAGCTGTGCGGCGTTAGCCTACGCGTGGTGGGCGCGTGACGATGTTCTCCTTGTCGTAGTAGATCCTCACGCGGTCCGTGCGCATGTCCATCGTCACCATGGCGCCCTGCAAAGGCGTCACGCACGAGCGGGACAAGGGAGGGGAGGCCCGAAAAACGACATGCCGGCAAGGCACGACAAGACCGCAGGGACAACGTCCTTCGTGTCAGACAGATCAACCCAGGCATGGGTTACACAAAACAGCTCGACGGGAACAGACTATTGTACAAAGGAGAGCACCGAACTCGCCCTTTTGGAGCAACACGACCAAGTCAGGAAATGGTTCTTCGCCCACCCCTTAAAACTTCCTTTCAATCTCAAATACGGAAAGCAAGGTTCTACATTTTGAACTCAAAATTATCAATGAAAGCGCAGAAACTTCCGTAGCGAATTCGACATCGAGAAACAAACGCGTACGACCATCAACAGGCAAGACTCCTACATCGTTCCTCAAGACACACTGGGAATCAAAAAGCTGACTTCATCAACACAGGGAAAGGGAGACAATCATCCCCTGGTCTACACTTGAGTAACCAACCGGTTCCACCATCACATGGCATGCAGGGCGTTTTGCCATGCTACACAAACACACCTTGGCGGGACGATCGCACATCGGCGGGGTCAGTGCACTAGGAAACGAAGCGATCAAAAACATTACAGCACTGCGGCATTCAAGTACACAGGGGGCCATCCAGTCACAAGACGGCAATGCGGTGGGATAGGTACGGTTTCAGGTGACTCACCTCCGGGACCTTGGTGATTTTCCTCAGGTCCGGTCGTGCGGCCTTGATCATCTCCACCGCCTCCTCCACATCCATGCCTGTCGAGACAGCAGAAAAGGCACGCATTTGTACACAAGCGAGATCTTCAGCCAGGCGACGCGGCAGTCAAAGGATTAGGGGGGGAGGATTACTTGTCCATCGACCTGTAGCAGCCAGCATACGCCGCACGGACCGCTTTCGCGAGGATAGTAGTGTATTAGTATTAGTCGATGAGGTAAAGAGAAGGGGGGTTCGTGACCCCAACCCTAACCCTAACCCTGACCCCCACACCCGTAAACCCTACTAAAACCAAGATAAAGATCCTCGCGAAGGATACTGCGCCGCACGCACAACTGTCGACACAGCACGTATTATACCGCCACGGTAGAAATCGAGGCCAAATGAACCAGACGTGATACAAAAGGTGGACATGCAACACTCAAAAGCTCAGGCACATCAATACCCCACGCAAGCGTTGGAAACCGCATAACATCACAAAAAATACAATACCACATGGGCTGCTGCGGTGCATGGTAACCGTCTACTGAACAGTAACTATCTAGATGCTGAACACACGACAGGGAGGAGGGGGCGTAGATTGAGGCAGGTCCTGACCCTGCTGGTCATCTCAGACATCATCGACATGTACTTGTGCGAAGGAATGAAAGCCTCCCGACGCCGCCGCACCCACACGCACGAATGGCCTTGAGAAACATGTTATGTGTTCAGCCTCAACACGACTGATATCTTTCATTGGTCAGCCGGTTAGCGCGGTCGATGCTACATGAAAAATCAAGACACAAACGCGTAAGTTGGAACAGTACTACGGACAGTAGAAGGTACTTAGCGGAGACCGGAACTTGTTTTTGTCATGTCAAGACAACAACCACAACAACAACAATAATATTTCCCTCATCCCTCACCGACGCATTCTTTCCATGTTTGCTGCACTCCCATTGTCGCCATCCGCGGCTTGCGCTGCTTCTTTTCCTTCTCGTGTGGGTGTGACCTCGGCAGTTCGCCCACCATGACCTCCTCCGTCACTCCCTCCTCGGCAAGCCCTCTGCTGCTGGCCTCCTTTGCCTTTTCCATCCCGGCCTCTCCCGCGTGGCCTGCCTCCGCCATCGGTGCTGCCGCCAGATGCAACACATGCGAACAAGCAATGCAAACAAAAGTATACCGTTATTTACACTTGACGAACTTGGAACATATGAACGCATACGTAGTTAAAAGTCTCCATGCTCAACAAAATATCTAAAAATCACAACTTTTGGGCACCGCTTGTAAGCCCGGCCGAAAACCCTTGCACAAACACCAATTGGCCACTCATACCCTCGACACCTAAATGACCCCAGCGTCGCCCTAACCAGAGGTAGGTCCCGCTTACTGCTGGACAACAGGGTGTTGACGGTGTCTGCGGGCAACCTGTACTGCGGGCAACCTGTACTGCGGGCAACCTGTACTGGAGTGATGCCCTTGGCGGGTGGGCACAAAAACACCACAACAGGAGTGATTATGCTGCCGAGACTGAGACAGACCTGCCTTGCTGTGTTCGGAACTTGTCGGTTGTCGGTGTCCATAACGCTGCACTAACGGCACATACGCGTAGCTGCTGCTGAACAACCTGCACAAGCTGCTGCTGTGCAATTTGCTCTGTGGCTCTCATTTTCGTGCTATTCTACCGACACAAAGCAACCCTTGTCTACGCAGAGAGAAAAGCTGCCGCTCTGCCGCTTTGTTCAAAGGGCACACATCTTCGCTGCCCTGTATATTAGGTACGTAATGCAGTCAGCTCTGACGAACGGACGAAAAGCTCACCGGAAGGCAGCGTTGCTGCTAGGAGAAGAGCGGTGGCTTTCGGGAAAGACGCGAAACGCATGTCCTAGGCTGGTTGGTCGGCCCCCTTGCGGAGCTTCTCTGTCCTGTGAAGGGCGTCATCAGGACAGATCAGGGAGTCGGCGAGATGTTACATCACACGGTACACCCGTCTTTTCCCCACCTCTCATGGGGGAAGGGAGTGAGGTTGATTAGGAAGGTCGCCCTTGGCTAACACTGCTATCTCTCGGTGCGTGCGAGGTAAGACGCAAGCCGAGGGCTCCAACATACAGAGTACACAGGAAAGGGAAGGTGTGGACTGGTCTCTGCTCTCCTGCCCTGTGCCAAACGGCTCTTTGAAGTTCTACTACACTTGGAGCAAGAGGAGGGGAACCTTAGATTGAGGCTACATACGTGTTTCAGAACGTCAAGACTGGGCCCTCCATTCCAACCGTCTTCTCTAGCACCGTGCAATCACTTGCCTTGATATCGTAGACAGTACAAGAGGGAGAGAGCGGGGCGCTTGTGTTTTGTGATGTGTTGGGCAACCTTTTTCGGCGGGCGGCTCCGTGATATGATTTTCGGGGCATATGGTTGCGAAAAACAATGATCCACGGAGCCCTCGTGCGTGATGTGCCGCACACATCCTGATCCACATGCCAGGAGTCGGACCGTACCTGCTGCTGCAGTCAGCTACACTAGTTGTGTAGTGCTGAGTACTCTCATTGCTGCTCGCGAGAGAATCTGCCAACTGCGTCTGCCAGCGGGAAAGCCTCCATTCCAGCGATCCCAACCGCACACAGGTATGCCTAGGATAGAATTCCGATAAGTTGTTCGTGTCAAATACTGCTGTACCTCCACTGCTGTGGGTACTTGCAGAGAGACACTGCTGTGTGGTACAAGGCCGTGGTATGGTGGACGGTGGAGAGCCTCTCCGGAATGCAGCAAGTGTAATGCCTTTCCAAAGACACGAGCATACCCAAGCACCGCAAGACGCACCACGAAATGATGGTATGATAGTGTCCTCCGGCTGCTCTACACAAGAAAATGCCGACAGATCTCTCCGACGTATTGCTTGTAGGGACCGACGCATGTGCCCGAGCCGGCATGCATGCCCAGACTACGAAGGAGTGGCAGCAGCACTCCTCGTTTGTGCAGCAGGAGGTTCCGAACTCGCCGAATCAACGTCTAATTTGAAGGGGACATGAAGAATATGTTCCGTCCTTCTGTTCTCGCATTTTCATTGGGTGTGAGAACATGAGAAACCTTGTTGTGTGGGTCGTCGGCCGTCCCTCGGAGCGAACAACTCCTTTTACATGTATCTGAGACGACGCTTGTGAGGAACAGATCGTAACATCATCATGGTGCGCGTTTTTGAGCCCGGAGGCCTGAAATAAAAGGCACATTGTCTGTGTAAACCGGGCGCTTGTGGGTGAGATTTGCAAGACAGCCGTGCTTAGGGTAGGTCTTAACGAAGAAATCAGATCTCGAAATCACATTTCGATGTAAGAATAAGAGTCGATCTACCCAAATCCAGACGGAAATGGCCTGTGTGTCTTAACAACAGATCTTCCAAGTGGAAACGAGTATCTGCAGTCCACCGCGAACCACCCGAGAGGTCCGCCGCTTGCCAACTACCAGATTGTTGTTGTGACATGCTGTTGTGACGTGGCCACACCACATGGGGAGCTATCGCTCCCGAGAAGCACACACCAACGCGTACATGGCCTCTGTGCGGTCCTGACACGATGTCTATGCATGTGAGACTTTGAATCGAGCCTCGTCCGACGGAAAGCCACCAACTCGTCTGTGCATTTGAAGTTCGACAGCCCAGGGGAGATTGCCCCACAGACCAACACACTCCACACACTTTTTTTTCGGCGCCAAGTCACGTGCAACAACGATGCGCAGTCACCCTCCCTTTGGGTTGACTTTTTATGCCCACTCTCTCCTTTGTGCTCGGCGGTGGATAGAGTTCGTGTGGATGGGGCTAGGTGGGCACGCGTCGTGCATGCGAGTAGACCGCTAATGTTCGAACTTGGTTTCGGTTCACCCAAATCGGGATCTGATGAAATGATTTCACCTTTTTTCAAATCCCGATTTGGTTTTGGGTCGTCCTGTTTTAAGTCCTAAAGAGGAGACCGGCGGAAGAACTTTTTGCCCAATCAAAAACAGAGTTCTTTGGATCTTCTGGTCTTATAACCAAATCTGAATGTGATTTCGAGATCTGATTCCTGCGTTAAGACCGGCCCTTTCCGCATGGAAGAGAACCGTTAGAATTGAATCTCCCTGATTCTCTCGAAAGGGGGGTTAGCGTGATGCGGTGGTGAGCAAGTTGACTTGATTGCGGGATGACCCGGTGCAGTACCAAGTTGTTTTCCAACTGCAAGAGCTACAGGTGTTGCAGTGGCACTGCTGGTGGCAATACGAAGAATAGCTACTTTGTAGAAGCACATGAGTTTCGTGGTGCCCGGGCTACTTTTTGCCGAATTTTGCAAGAAAGTGAACGACAAGCGCGTCCGCCTGTGTACAGAATGACCGGCGGGGCAGGCGTGTGGCACAGTGCAAAGAGAGTATCGAAGGAAGGAAGAAAGGAAGGGAGGAACAACCCCGACAGCCGATCGTCTTTGCGTATGATATGCATATGCACGTACTGTAAATAAAATGAAATGCAGAGAAGGTGTCTGCGGGGGGTGGGGTCGCCCCCCGCCAAAAGGAACCGACCTGAAGACAAGACGGAAAGGTGTAAGAAAACATTGCTGTGCCGTTTCTTCGATTGTTCTTATCATTTTTCCTTTCGGCTATAGTGCGCTTGTGGTCAACATACGGCAGATGGACTTGGCTGTGCTCACAATAGAGCAGCAGCTCTACAGCAGTGCAAGCACAAAAAAGCAGCACCCGACACACACAGGAAGCACACTTATTGTAGACTCATTCGGCCTGCTGTTTTCGGCACCGGGAGCAGTGCCACAACCTGGGTGTTGGTTGAGATTTCCCCCCTGGTCTTTCCCGTGGCGACCCCCTTCTTTGACCTCCCCCTGCCCAAAGGTACACGAGATTCATTGAGCGGCAAGGGCGCTGAGGGCGGCGAACATCTTCTACATTGACGAATCGGAAAGAATCACAGTGTCGGAGGCCCTCTTGCTCTACTACTGCGTGGTGCTGGTAAGTTGTGTTCCTACATATCCCCGAGCGAGAACAGGCCATCTCACCGCTTTATACAAAAATGGCACATTCTCTTTCTCCTTGTACCCTCTCGACTTTCCCGTACGCGCATTCGACGTAGACTAGAATGCAACCCCTTGTGGCTGGTTCACGGCTGCACCTTAACCTCCTCCCGAAATTTTGGTGCTGAACTGTTGAACAAACTCATGGTGTCAAACCGGCTGAATCTGTTCTGTTCGCGAATCGCTCAGGAAAAGGAAACTAGATACAGCTAGGAGAGGAGGTGCGGCATCCAATAGCCAGGAGACGAACGGAGACGAACGGAGGCGAGGCACGATGGGGGAAGAGTCGAGCAAGGCGATGCTGCGGGTCACTGGCGTGATTGCCCAGTACTGGGTCGTGAGCATCTCCTTGGTGTACATCAACAAGTTTATCTTGTCGGAACAATCGGCGCCAATTTTCATCACCTGGTCACAGGTGCGCGAAATAAGGGGCCTCGGGTGGTTGCTGTCAAATTCACTGGACAAGTCGTCAAAGTGTACATGAAGACGATCAGGATGCACACGCAAAGGGAGGGGGCGATGCACACGCAAAGGGACGGGGCGACGGCAAAATCCACTATCAACGTCGCAGTAGTGTGCATGACGTTGGATGCGATCAGGATACAGCAGTGCATACGCGAAGAGAGATTGACCGCCGCCATCAATGGTCTACCTAAACCCTAACCCTAACGCTGACCCAAGGGGAGGCTGGCTTCATGTCGCCTATTTAGCGCTTAACCCCGCAATCTTGATGTTATTTTGAAGATGCTCGGTATGAATAGATATGTCCGAGAAGGACCGCCGAGTTTGCTCCGGGTTGGCACTCTTGCTCTATCGGTAGTTGCGTGAGAACCCCAGGCGGTTCCTCGCTATCCGTGTTGGTGTCACGTAAGTTGGTGCACGATTTGTACAGTACGCTCTGAAGGCATCCCCCCCCCCCCCCCTCCCAAGCGGTTGGCACCAGCATATTCGGGTAACGCGCCGATACCCTGATGAATGCACTAATAGCGCATCGTTCTCTAAAACATGTGGGTACCTACCCGCGCTGGGGTGCATCAGCGACGACTCCGCCTTGCTATTCGAAGGGCTTGCTTACGAAAACACACAGCCGCAGTACTTGAGAACCGGAGAAAACAGCGCGGTGTTGTTCATGGTCGTGATCGAGAGCGCAGGGATATTTGGCATGGTGTGGCTCCCGTGCACTGAATAGATATGCCCCCCTTCTGTGCCTCAGCGCTTTGGTGCGCGGCTCACCACCCCGCCAATCCGTGCGCTCACACCACAACTCCCTTGGCCTTGGCCTCGCCGGGTGGCAACAAAACGCGCGAACGACTTCGCAGTGCATCGTGACATGCGTCATCTGCTGGGTGTGCGGGGCGCTGGGGGAGAAGATGCGCGAGACGCAGAGCGGCGCAACGAGGGAGAAGGCCGAGGAGGGGGGTCACGCGGCCGGGAAACCGTCACCGGACTCTTCCTTCCTAGCGGGATTCCCGAAGGCGCGGTACGACCGAGACGCGGCGATCAAGGTGTTGCCGCTGTCGATGGTGTTCGTGCTAATGATCCTATCTAACCAGCTCACGCTCAAGTACGTCGAGGTGTCCTTCTACAACGTGGCTAGGTGAGAGGAACGAGTCCCGTGTTGGGGGCTGTGCTGGTGGTGCTGTTGGTGGTGCCGGGTAGCGATTTATCCCGGCATGTAGGCGGCTCTCGATGACGGGGGTACGCACCTAGCTTTGGGCGGGCCGCCCTGGGGTCGTCGAAGACGATAAATGAACCACGAACTGAACGGCGGCATTTTATTTTATTTGCTGTGCGTGATGGGTACCCTACAGTAGTCGTCTTGATGCTTGGACGCACCTCGGCATCTACACGTGTCTCTCGCAAAGGGGTCACCGTCCAACTCACGATTGCCGTCTGGGTTCCGTCCTCTCGAAGACGCGTGGTCAACGGCGTGCAAAACATGAGAGTACGCCCCTCCCTTCGCCTCTCTGCTCTCTCTCTGGCCAGGTCGCTGACTATCGTGTTCAACGCAATATTCAGCGTGATGATACTTGGTTCCGTGGTTAGCTGCCGCACCATCGCCTGCCTGGCGGTCGTCATTACGGGTTTCATAGTGGGCTGCGGGGGGGAGGTGCAGCTCTCGGTCCTGGGGGTGCAGTGGGGGCTCATCTCCAGCGTGTCTGTCAGTCTCAACTCCATCTACACCAAGAAGGTAAACTCAAAAGGTCGTTCTGTGTGTAGCGTTGTTCAAGGCATGTCAGCCGCGTTACTATAGAGCAGTGCAATAGTTGAACGGTTGCATTTCTTTCACCCTTGAAAACTACCGGCCAACATGATTCTGTAAGGTTCTGTAGCTCGAGTTTGTTTCGGTCCAGTCGGCTCGTTTTCGTCCCGTTTTTTGTTGTTGTCCTCTGTGGCGAGAGGTACTTGAGTGTGGGATGTGCCGGTATCGGATCGGTTGCGCTAACACACGCAAGACTCGCTTCGTATTCTAGCGGTACTGCCACCACATTTTTACGGCATATACGGTTGTCGAGGTCTGCTGTAGGAGCGAAGCGGCCGACAGGTTGGTCACCGCAACGGATGATACTACAGCCACAGCTCGGCTATATATATTTCGATACAGAAAGTTTACAATATGAAGGCATGCACAGCATAGAAAACGTTTTTGAGTGTGTGGCCCCCCCTGCCTGCGGCGCCCCCCAACGACCACCTTTGACTCAAGCGCCGACAACCCCTCACTCCGTATCCCTCTTGGTCTCCTCCTTCTCTTCGCATGGGCGGGTGAACTCACCCCCCTCCCCTCCTCCGTTGGTGTCGGTTTTCGATCATCTTGGATGGCGGCGTCGGACAGGCGCTCCCCTTCGTGATGAACGATGCGTGGCGGCTGACTTTCATCAACAACGCCAATGCGTGCCTGCTGTTCATCCCGTTCGTTATCTACTTCGAGGGAGCCATGCTGCGGGAGGTGAGCGTGTCTCTCGCTCTCTGTTGGTGCTACTGCTGTACGCGTATCTCACGTTGACAAATGAACCGTTGTGCTCGTTTTCTGCGTGTCTCTTGCTCCTCGTCGTAAGTTGTTGTCTATAGGGTTGTACGTAGCGCATCGCGTTTGGCAGAGATTCCCGCTTGGAGTGTCCCGCTCGGAGTGTCCCGCTGTTCGGTTTTTTGTGCACTTTCTCGCGATGCTACAATACACCCAGGTTAGATGTATTGTTAGATGCTCACCGCCATTGTCGACCAGTATGCACAAGGTTTTCGTACTATTAATAGTATCTCTTTTGTTAAGACTTGCACGACCTCCCCTGTTCGGTGCACTCAGCACTAGAAAAGGATATCCGGAGATGTGGGGGTTCCGTGAACCAAGTGTTGGTATCACCGTGTTTTTAGGTGGGCGATCGAACCCCCTTCTGCAGTGCGAGGGCCAGCGTGCCCTTTCGACTGGTTAACAAGGTCTTGACTCATCTTCGCGCCTCTGACGATAAACACTCCCTACTTGTACCCAACATCTCAGCACTCCCTATTCTCGGACGGATTGCCCTCTTACACCAAATTGTGAAGCAAGCATCCAATCCATCTTCTTAACGCCTCGGCTTTGAACCTGCGCGTGCTTCCCTCGCCGCGCCTGTGCCCTGTTTTTCTTCCTGCAGCAAGCGTCTACTGGTACGCTTTTCTCGAGGTCGATTGTGACGGGTCTGGTCGTGTCGGGCGTCCTGGGATTCTTGATGGGGATCGTTTCAGTCATGCAGATTCGCGTCACGAGTCCGCTGACCCACAACATATCGGGGACTGCCAAGGCGGGTGTGCAGAGCATCATGGCGTTTTACATCTGGGACAACGAGGCGACCGTCTTGGCTTGCGTCGGTGAGTAGCGCCGCCAGGACCTGGCATGATGTTGCTGCTGCTGCTGCTGCTGCTGCTGCTGCTGCTGTGTGCCGCAGCTTGTTGTTGTCCTGTCTAACGTTTTGCGGCGGGAACGATGTTGCTGCTGTGTGCCGTCACTATGTTTGGCGGCTGGCATGATGTTTGGTTACCTGCCCGGGTTGTGGTGTGGACACGGTTGATCACACAGACGCCGCTTGAAGAGATAAACAGTTGTGACTCAAACTCCGCGTATGTGAACCACCCCCAGACAAGAGAAAGACCTTAGGCGGAGCATCGAGGGGGGTCCGTCATATCATACAATCTCCCCCATCACATACCAAGAGGTTTGGCGGGTCGGTGCTAACACCGAGTTTACCAAACAATGCTGCTGCTGCTGCTGCTGCTGGTGTGCCGCATTTTCGTCCTGTCAATGTTTAGCGGCGGGAGTGAGTCTTGGGGCTTCTGGCGGGAATATGTTGTATTGTTGTGCAATCGTAACATGCGGCCAATGGTCACAAGATGGATGAAGAGGGCCTGTCTTTTTGCAGCGTTTCGTTTTGTGGCTAGTGTGTTTTTGCTTCTAGTCCTTGCGTCCGTGTCAAACTCGTCATTTTGGCTGTTCTTCTGCTTCTCCAACGGCCAGGGCACATTGCGACTGCAACTTAAACCAACGTGTTAAGGTCCAGGCCGGCTAGCCCACTCGCTCGCTCTGTGCCGCGTCTGTTGGCGTCTCGTGGACTTGACTCCTCGCCAACACAAATTTTCGCTCTCTTTTCACTCCCCACCGTGCCTGTTGTGCTGTGTTTCGCGATGGTTGATGTCTCATGGACTCCTCCCTAATACTTGTGTTGGCTCTTCCCACACACCCTACCGCGCGTGTTTTGCTGTGTTCTCCGCGATGGCAGGAATCTTCTTGGTGCTGTTCGGGTCAAGCCTGTACACGTACGTCAAGATCACGGAGGTGCAGAAGGGACCGGCAAAGGTCGAAGGCGGAAAGCCGCTCTTGCCCAAGTAAATGAATCAACCAATCAGTCGTCTTGTGAGGAATAGATAGGCGCGTCGGCCGCCGCGACAAGGCGTGACTTTCCATGCTTAGGAATAGTTAGAGCTTGGCAAGACACGGCGGGTGAGAGGATAACGTTGGGCGTTGGCAGCAGAGTCGGCATCGAACGGTGTTAGTGCTTGGCGTGCTTGGTATGGATGCCACTTTAGGACGAGGCGGAACGCAGCTTGTTGGTCGCGGTGTTTTTTTAGTCTTAGCTTGTTTTCATGTGGTGGGCGGGTTGGCTTTGGCGTGAGGGTGGTCGGCGGCAGCAGGTGTGCCTGGTGTTTCGGTGGGAGGTGTGCACGGTAGTACAGCAGCGGTGACGATGGGGGTAAGACCCGGGGGATGAACGATCCAAGATGACTGTGCTACATAACCTGTTTGCCCGGGTGTCTTCTCTTATCGCCAGTCGCAGGTCAAGTGCGTGTCTGCGCTAGGGTCCTGTGTCGTGTGCCATGGATGGCATAGTCTTGTACTCTTTCTGGTTTCTGATGCTGTTGCTTCTGCCCCCCCCCAAGGTGGTCGAGTAGATCATGGTGTGCGGGGTCGAGAACCCTCACTCCACGCTAGGGGGATGATCGCACCACGTTGTGTTAAAATGGTCAAGCATCCTCGAGGCAGTTACACAGTGCTTACAACTGTCTCTGGAAGTGAAAGCACCAGAAAATAAATCAAGTCATACGCAGCTGTCATCCGTACGCAAGGAAGTAAGCACAAGATGCCGAACACCCTTAGCAGGATGCAGCTCACCCTTCATGCGACTCGCCGCATACCTCACGGCGCTTCGCGCTTGGTGATGTGAGAGCCTGGTCCGGTGAGAACCCGGCGTGCTCCGTCCCGGCTTTGTAGGGATGCGAGGTCAATGGTCTAACGGCATGCACGACTATGAGTACACCCCCGCCCCCCCCCAAGGGTGTGGCCGCCTCATGGTCGGATGTCCTTGTTGGGCTCTCTGGAACTTTTCATGAATGTATCTTTTGTTCGCGAGCTCATTTGGCGAGCTGACTATTTTAGACATGTACGTTTAACGTTAGTCGCATCATGTTTGGGGATGTGTCCTGTCGTGTTTATTTTGATTATTTTTCCATGCCCCCGGCAGCTGGACTAGCTAGTGTCCTCCGTTATTGCCGGCGTGAGCGGTCGTGAACTCCAAAATGTACGCAGAACCGCAGCTAATGGTTGACCCCTTTTCAGACACCAAGCTACTGCTGGTGCCATGTATTTTAGCTAAGAGGGCTCGAGTCAAGCTGTGAACAGGCGGTGTGCAAGCTTTCGAAGGTTTGAATACCATTATCTCTCCGTGCGCGGCTGGATATGGGATACAACGCATGATGTTTTTTTTTTTGTGTGTTTTGGTTGTTGTTGATGCAACGGAGTATTGAGCGACGGCCGCTGGAGGTACGTACGCTTGTGTAAAAATCGAGATTTGCTCCCTTTTTCTGTGGGGGTGGGGGTGGGAGGGAGAGTCGTGCACTACGACAAACTGCGGTAAGGGTTGGCTTCGGATGCGTGACGTCGCAGCAGTAGTTCGGCGTGTGTCTCTGGCGAGAACGTGTGGCGCGGACATGTCTGTGGATGTTGTGACTTTGGTCTCACGGCCGTCTTTGATGATACCCGAGCCTCCTTGGTGCGGTGTTCCATCTACATCTATCTGTCGGGCGCGCGCTTTTCTTGGTGTTTGTTTTCTAAATAGCGGGGATGGAGAGAACGGGGCTTGCGCCAATCGCTGATCACATTTCTCCCCCAGTCATCATGCTGCGTGGACTCTGGGTATGTTGCCAATTGTTGTTTGAATCCTTTGCCGCGATAGTTGCAACACGCATACAGTATAACATTGTCCTCACTCTCATTGCCATTCGGCCGGGTAAACGGCGTGATGGACTTGCTTCCCGTATTTGGAATACTGAGGTACACACGCGCGGCGCCCAAACTGCTACAAAAGTATGTTGGGCAACTCCAACGAGCCATTAGAAAACACAGCCGGGCTGGCATTGTTTACTTGCTTGGCATGCGCTTGGGGGGGGGCGGGGTTAAAACGATTTGAGGGTGGTCACCGAGCGACAACGTCGTCCAGACATGATGGCGCTCGATATTTAAGCTCCGTACGCTTGTCTCGACAGCGCGGGGTACCTGGAACACCGCTTCCTGTCTCTCTTATCTTTTACGAAATAATGGATGGGTCATACAGGAGGTCTCATGAGGAACTTATGAATTCAACCGACATTTTTTTTCTACTGTATTGCGCACCCAACGAGAAAAAGGGTGTCATAGTAAATCCTGAAGTAGTGTTCATTTTATCTCACTATTTAGACTAGTTGTCTACACAACAGTAGCATTAGGGCGTCACTCGTTCCGGAAGAGTTATTTAGTGAGAATGCCTCTTCACCGCACCAGTTGGAGCATTAGCATTGCTACGGGCGGACCGTAAGACCACTACTTGAGAGCTCTCAAACCAACCACTTTCTTTCCATTGTACACTGCTTCGAAAACAATACCACATCACCACACCGCCGTGGTGTTATTTTCGTCAGCGCAGGCTGCCGAGAGCACGATTGGCGTCACAGAGGCGGAGTTTCTGTACCTCCTGGACTGCTGTGCGATAGAGAGGCAAACAGTAAGCGAGTTGACTCTGTGAATAAATGGATTAGTATGCACAAGTGAGTTACAGCAGGGTCTGGGTAGCCGAGAGGCCTCGCAGATGACGTGATATGACACCCCCCCCAGGTCGTCAAAAAAAAAATGATCGTTCGTATAGATGACAGCATACACGTACCTTGCGTAGAGAGAAGAGATGTCGTTGCAAGCCTGACGTTCAGCAGAAACAGCAGTCACGAGGGATTGGCAGCACAACCCGCCCGTCGACGATCGACACCAGCAGCGAGATCAAAGGAGAGGGCTGCCTTCTCTCATCGGGAAGGCAATCGGTTTTGAGCTCTCCCGTTTGAGATTTGCTACACACAGCAGTTCGTGGCAGGGGCAGCCAGGGCAGGCACAACCAAGACAGACCTGTTTTGCCTCTTGCTTTGCCTGTGCACACCGTGAAGAGGTCTGGCTGCTTCTCAGACGGAGCCAGCTGACCAGTCGCGGGAGAGCCGACTGCAGGGAATCCCTTGGCGTGCTTACGGGGTGAGAGAGTTTGGAACATTCTGCACGCAACACAACGCCCTGTGAGAGCCTTGTGTGTAGACTGCTGCTCTTGCTGCTGCTGCGTTGTTGTGAGGAACTCGCAAAATCTCTTCAGGGCTTTTGATCCCCTGCACGTCTGCCCTGAGACCGAACAACCGCTGGGTTTGAGAGGAGACACAGGCCGAGAGTCTCGGCAGGCGGACCCGTAGCAACGCGCTCGAGAACTTTTTTTGGCGTCGACACGGCTGGTTGCTTGCTGTTTCAAACGAGAGCTCTCGCCTCTTACGTATGATACCACGATGGTTGTTAGACTAAAATGATACCGCTTGTTTTATTCCAAACCAGCACACGTCAACAGACGCTCGCTGTGTATTTCCGGCGGTGTGTATAATAGCCCTGCTCTCTACCATGTTGCTGCTGTAACACGATGTGACACGATGTGATTCATGTGTGAGGTGCGCTTGCTGAGAGCCGCTGGCGGGGGGGGTGGTGTGCCGGATTTTTTGTGCTCGCACAGAAACGTTGTGTGACATGTTTCGACGCAGGATGCAGCATCTACGGTAACACCCCGCCGCTTTCGTGAAGCCAGCGTGGGAGGTCCTGTAGACAAAGCTAACTTTGGCGTAAACCCTCGAATTTTCGGTACATAGCTAAAGACCTGAGCTGTTACCCTCCTCCATGGGGTGAGCTTGTCATCCCCGGCTCTCCATTCTGAGAGGATGTGCTCGCGATTTAAATGTTTGAAAAAATGATCCTTCGTCGCCTGCATCATGCACCTTAGTTTTGGGAGCCCTTGAACTTACGCATGACGATTACTTTTTATTTTTTGTCATCCTTCTCCCCATCAGCTGATGTATGTAGTAGCAGATGATTCCCCCATCCCTGCCATTCGCCTCAAGCCCCGCAACCATCTCTCAGAGCACTAGCATAGACCTGACTGCCAAACCTCCGCCGCCTCCGCAAAAGTAGGTATTTTTGACTGTCGGCGCCAGCGCTCTCTCTTTCGATCCTTCCGCAGCGGGGCAGCTGCTGTTTGATTCGATGATACGGTGTCCCTTACGTTTTTTTCCGCACACATGTACGTATAGAGCCAATATCGGTCTGAAAGTGCAGTGTTGGGAACACCGCTGGCTGTGTCGTACTATTATGCATGTGTACTTTGCATCTTTACACCAGGCTTGTTGGAGCGGAATCGAGAATCGAAAAGAGAACAAGCAACGGCGGTATCATATGTAGCAGCCAACAGCTGCCAGGTGCTGTTGTATGCAGTGAAGCCCTGATTTCGCCTTGGGAATTCAAACACTGGCTGCTAATCCTTGTTGTACATACACCGTCCGTGAACTGACACAAATAGATGCCGAGTTAGACACCACGGCTCCGGTGATGATAATCAGGGCGCTCGTCATAGACAGCAGTAGTACGTAACGCCGCCATATTCTACAAGGGGGTGTATTATCTCGTGTCACCCGACTGCTGTACGATAGAGAACGCTCCACTGCTATGTAGAGCCCAGTTGTCAAAGGGGATATGCCGTAAGGTTGCGAGTCAGCGCACAGGGGTGCGATCGATTTCCATAGCGTAATTTCTCCACGACCAGGAGGGTGCAAGCGCCAACTGATACTTCTCAGGAACGGTCTCGATGAGATATTTTCCAAACGATGAGATATTTTCCAAAACCGCCTTTTTTGACAGCGGTTACCTCGTGGTGGTGGAGAATTACGCTTTGAAAATCGTTCGCACCCCTGTGCGCTGACTCGCAACCTTACGGTATGACATGATACCTCTACACGGGCGAAGACTATGAGGTTGCGATATTCTATCCGCGTTCTCCTGCCGCTGTGCGCGATGTCGAAGGAGGGCATGTTTGTGTGATTTCCTGGTTTCGAAGAAACAGTACTCGCAAGAACGCCGTGGCATCTCAGCAGTATTAGGGACGCCGGTTTTCTCACTCCCGTGCCAAGTAGTCACACGAAAGGCGCATGTTTCTGAAAATCAGAGGCTGTAGCTTTTTAGTATTTAGGCGGAAACGCGAAGTAAGTACAAGATGCAATGCTGGTCCATCGGTTGGCAACACGTCCGAAGCAGCAGCACTCTTACTACTTTGAGCGAAGGCATGTTGATCTTTTCCGACACTACCATGTAGGGCCAGGAGCATCAAGCACAACATGCGGCTGGCAAGACTGGTTCCTCAGGAATATGTACACGGACTATGACATTCGCGCATCGTAGCATCCCAGCGGACACCATGCGGAGTAGCTGTGTAGACTGCCGACACCACACACTCCCTCCGACAATTTTCTCGAACCGAGAGCCCTTCGTTGATAACATGTACTTGTAGTCGTATGGACAGCATATCCACTACGCTACAAATGAGCGCTGATTTGTATCATAGAGGATATGCTGCACATGTAACAACGGTAAAACCCGGGGTCCTTGAACTCGTTTGAGCTGTTGGAGATTCACCTTGTATTCTGAAAAAGCAAACCCCGGTCAGTTCCTAGCAGGTGTCCCTCAATTCTAGTCCTTACTGAAGTGTTCAATTTCACACGTGCTTTCGAAATGGGTGTTACAAGATGCTGCTGTATCTCCAACGGGTGGCCTCCCTTTCATGTTAGATTATGTGGTACCGCATATTTCTGCACGCGAAGTATATGCGTACGCGATCAATACCTATTTCCCGCGTGTTGGTATCTACCATACAGCACAGGACGGGAAACAAGACGAGGAGAAAAGGCCCGTCAGCCAGCCGGCACAACGTACAAGTATTGATTGTGCTGGGGAAACAGCAGAGATAATGTCTCGAGCCTTCGGTACTGAGGCTTGTCCATCATTTCTCGTCCAGTCGAGTTCTCAGGCCGACTTGCCCCCAACCTTTTTGACATTGGCACAACACACACCACCAGCACACTGTGTGAGTTTGTGTGTGTTTTAGTTATTACCGGGTTGTGAGGTATATTCGCACGTCCGCATGCACGTCAGGGTAGAAACCCGCGGGTCGTGCTTGGTCGCCACGGTCGTGCCGCCGCCTAAGGGCACATACCCTGTAGTAGTTCCCACCCGCGTATGCCCTCGGACAACACATGGTGCGAAGAATTTTTTTAGGATATGTCTCTGACTGCAGCCATGGCATCCCAAAGAGGCCATCTACAATGCGCGCTTCAGCAGTACACGTCCATCAGCGCCATCCAGTTTTAGCATAGTTTGGTCTCGCATCGATCACGGACCCTAGACCCCTCTCTCTATTATCAGCTTCCGACCCCCACTGGGGGATATTGGGCCAGGCTATGTCTGCCGCGCCTGTGCACCGCGAGCACGAAAGAGCCCAACGAGAGAGAAAGGAAAAGGGTCAAACCTTAACACAGAGACACACACAGTTCTAACAAGAACGGCCCTCCATGTTTTGCTGCTGCATGCCCCCGGTCGACCACCCACTTGTCAACACAGCACGGGAGTCGCCAAACATTCCATCATCCCTGTGGAGCAAGGCGATGTCAACGTCGCGCAAGCGTAACAAGGCCTCCAAGGGCAAGAAGTCCAACTCCTCCTCTTCCTCTCGATCTCTCGCCGGTGACGGGGGGGGGGGGGGGTCCAACCAGACTGATATGGCGGGGCTCCAGGAGCCGGGCGGCGGCGACGCATCGGGAGCGGGGGCGGGGGACGATCCCTGGGTGTGGGAGAAAAAAAAAGCGGCGGGCGTGGCCAAGGCTAAGGCGCCCGCGGGTGACAGGCTGGTTTACTTCGATCCCCAAATCATCTTGCCTCCGGCGGACAAGCGCAGCGGTGAGTTGAGTCGAGTAGGGGGAGGCGGCACCACATTCCGCAGCCTAATACCAGTTTTGGTCAATCTGTTAATCCTGCAGCGCTTGCACGTGTTTGTGGTACGTAGCGTTCCGAAAATGCGTGTGTCCTTACTGCTACACGTCATGCGTTCCGGCAGTCATCATCGTGAATCGTTGTCTTCCCAAAAGGTGAACGAATAAACGGTTCTTGCGCACGTAGGTACGTCCGGAGGGCCTGGAGAGGGGGGTACTCTAAAACCAAGTGAACAGAAAGACCGAAAAAGTGCTATTCTTTAGCTTCGCTAAAAAGTGCTACACCACTTCTGCTGTCGACCTCTCTAGGTAGGCGTTGTTTCTAGTTTTTTTCGTGGCCCGTTATCTCATTAGACCGCCTCTTTCGTAGATCGCACGTACCCCTCGTTTTCGTATATGTCAACCTCTCGTTTTCGCTGATGGTCACCTCTCGTTTTCGTAGATGGTTGCCTCTCGTTTTCGCAGATGGTTGCCTCTCGTTTTCGTAGATGGTTGCCTCTCGTTTTCGGAGATGGTTACCTCTCGTTTTCGTAGATGCCCACCTCTCGTTTTCGTAGATGCTCACCTCTCGTTTTCGTAGATGGTTGCCTCTCGTTTTCGGAGATGGTTACCTCTCGTTTTCGTAGATGCCCACCTCTCGTTTTCGTAGATGCTCACCTCTCGCGTTCGTAGATGGTTGCCTCTCGCTTTCGGAGATACACTGTTTCGTTGATACACTCTCTCGTTGTCGTAGATAGTAACGTCGTTGTCTTCCACCGCATACCACACACACCCTAGAATACACACGAGACGCTTATGATGTAACGAATACTTCAAGGCTGATCACGATGTGCATATTCGCGCGCCCTTCCGTGCCGCTGACCCTTGCCGCAGCGCCTGGAGGGGAGACGGCGGAGGAGCAAAGGCGGTACAACAACCGCTGGATGTTTACGCCTGCCACGGTGCTGTCGGCCGTTGACCCCGAGCCAGGAGTGGTGCTCATCCGAACCAGAGACTCGGCGGTCCACAGGCGAGCACCGGTAGTGCGTAGTGCAGTATTATAATGATAGTGTACGTGGTGTGTTTGGTGGAGGGGGCCTGTGCCAGAGGGGCTCCGTGGTTTTGATGGCTGCAAGAGGGGCTCCGTAGTCTGATGGATTCGAGAGGGGCGCCGTGGTGTGATGGCTGCCCGAGGGGGTCCGTGGTTGATGTCTTGAAGAGAGGCTCCGTGGTTTGACGGCTTCAAGACGGGGGCTCCTTGGTAATGTCTTCAACAGAAATTTCCACGACGCGTTGCTTGTGATGGTGTTGTCGTGTGGAGCCCGCGGTGGCATTTTTTTGTCCCTCCCCAATGTGAGCCCTGCCGGCTCACTAGAGCTCCTGTGATTTTCCCACAATTCCTACAAGCACGCAAGCACACCAGCACACACCTACCTTTGCATCAGTGGCTCTCTAGGTCTTGACTTTGTGCGGGTGTCGCGGTGGTCTCTATAAAATCGCGACCCCTTCTTTCATCCATATTGACGTGTGTGTCGGGTTTGTGTCGGTATGCTCTGGGCGGCGATGCCTGCCGTAATGCCGTGCTTAGTGCTGTGGTTGTTCCGTGATCGTGACTGCGATTGGACAGGGCGAATGGAGCGGAGCTGGAGACAGTCAACCCGCAGGCGTTGGAAGGCGTGCCTGACGCCATGAACGTTTCGAACCTCACGCAGGCCTCGCTGCTGCATACCGTCCGGGAGCGGTACAACCGTGACGAGGTGAGCCGGAAAGAGGTATTCCCGCGTTGAGGATGGGATAGAGAACAGGTACCTACAGCAGTGGTGAGTTTTCCCCAGGTAGAGTATAGTATGTACTATGACACCCATCATCTCGTTCAGATGGCTCAGCCCTCTTGATCCGAACCTACTCGTGTTGCGTCGTCAAAACTGAAAATTTATGATACCCAAAACTAGAAAAAAGAAATGTACCCAAAACTGGAAATGTTATTATTCCGAACACAGAAACATGGCATTGACGCACCCAACACTTGTATTGCACCCTCTGCCAATCGGTTCTATCTCTATTCGTGTTTTGTGCTACACCCATTATCATGCGTGTATCAGAGGTACGAGTCCCTGGGTTGTTTTTTATTCGGCACCGTCGCCATCACCTCGACGAGAAACAGGCACCAAACACATCTGTATGGGAAACATGAACCAGTAGTCCAACCCCTTTCTGATATGAGTCGAGAGGACGCAGCTTGAAAGCGTGAGGAACGGTTTCCCCTCTCCGACAAACACAGCACAACACAATGATGTCACTCCTCAACGCATGGTGCCCTTTACATGGGATATGGTGTGCATGACAGGTCTACACCCGTGTGGGGCCGGTTTTGATGTCGGTGAACCCGTACAAGTGGATAGTGGGGCTCTACGCCGAGGACGCGATGCTGAGCTACCACGGAAAGGCTGCCATGGTTGAGGCGGGAGAGCTCGCCCCGCATCTGTTCGGCGTGGCCGATCACGCCTACTCGGAGCTGGTACGTGCTATTTGGTCGTCACGGTCTCCCCACAAGTGGCAGGGGGGGGGGGGGAGGGTCCTGTGTCCCGCAGAAATATGTTGTAAGAAAGAGTAAGGGTATGCATGAGCCGCGGTGTACCTTGTATCTGTCAATAGTGGGATTTTTTTTCTCGTTTCTGGCGTTACCTGGCCGTCGAGTCTAGTATTATAGGTGCTCAAAGAGTTGTCGCGGGCTGTGTTGATGCGGTGGTTGTTTTTTGCCGGAAGAACTCCGGGCTGAAGAGTACGGAAGCATAAGAAGTACTGAAGTGGCGCAATTCCAAACATCATGTTCTTGTAACGACAACGACAACAACAACAACAACAACAACAACAACAGCAACACCGACGATGATGGCATTGTAGCAAGCAATAAAGTGATAACCTGTAGCAAAACAACCGCGGCAACAAATGATCAGGTGAAGGGGCACTTGGAAGCCGAGTCCGAGACTAAGGAGGACGTGCGCGCCAGGAAGGCTAGGGCCTCAAACCAGTCCATCATCATCAGCGGGGAGAGTGGGTCGGGCAAGACAGAGGCGACGAAGATCATCATGCAGTACCTAGCCAGGATCACGTCGGGTGAAGCGGTGGGGGCGTCCGGTGCCGGGTGAGGAACTTGAACTTTGGTTTGAAGCGTTTGCTATTGTTGCCGTTGCAGTTATTGATACTGCTGCTGCTGCTGCTGTTGATTTTGCTGAGTATTGAGGTAGTGCCTTGTTGCTGTTGGTCCAACGCTCCGTCTCTGCTGGTGCTGGTGCTGCTGCTGCTGCTGCTGTCGGGTGCTGTCTGTACCGATGGTCTCAAGGCCGCTGTACGCGGTCGACGTCTGCGTGATATGCAACCCTCTTGATTAGAGATCCGTTCACGACAAGTGACACCCCGCCGTATCTTCGCGACGCCCCCCGATTCGTTTGGCTTTGACATCGAGAAACCCTCCAATCACGAACAATACTCCCATCTCCGTCTCCCCCCTTCTCCCCCACCGGTTTCTGCAGCGAGGCATCTGATGCGTGCAGAGACTCTCGAGCAGCCAGCGAGGCCATCATGCTGCACGTGGGGGACTTGGAGAGCAGGGTGCTGAGCTGCAACCCCCTCTTGGAGAGCTTCGGCAACGCCGTGACCCTCAAGAACGATAACTCGTCGCGCTTCGGGAAGTTCATCAAGATCCAGTTCGACAAGAAGGGGAGGATAAGGGGGGCACAGGTGAGTGGGGTTGGGGGGTGGTATGGGCGGTGCGATGGGGTGGGGTTTAGGGGTCGCAAAAGTGAGTGAGTGTTGTGGGGAGGGGGGTATGGGTGGGGTACCGGATACGGCACAAGATAACACAACCCCTGGACCGATTTGCAAAGCTCGCACACTGCACGACGAAGAGGATGTATAAACGAAACGATACGTTTTCGGAGAGCTCTCCACCAGACGGCTTCAACGCCGGCGCCGTTTTCGGCGTTTTGACGCTTTTCTGCTGTTGAGAAATCGAGCTCTGAAAATAGGTCCAGGGGGTGTGTTATCTTGCGTCGTATGCGGTAGGGGGGTTGGGGGTTGATATGAGCGGGGCGATGGAGTGGGTTTGGGCGGGAGGGGAGGGAAGGATATCGGGATCGCAAAGCGAGTTGAGTGTTTTTATGGGGAGGGAGGTATCGGCTGTGATACGGGGTGCACGAGCGAGGGAGGGGTGCTTGACTCATGCTCATGATTGAGCAAGAAACTCATGTCACCTTGGTGTTTGCTTGTCTTCCGTAATTGTGGCATTGGTATGACATGCCTCACACATGTGCCACTACTTGTAATATTACCGTTCGTGTTGGCCGTCCGTGGGTCACTCCTGTACAATACTCTGATCTAACGCCTCTCTCTGTGCGCGTTGCTATGATTGTTCCGTGCTCTTTCGCATGCTACTACTACTGTAGATCCAAAACTATCTCTTGGAAAAGACGAGGATCGTGGCCCAGGCAAAAAGAGAGCGGAGCTACCACATCTTCTACCAGCTGCTGGCGGGGTCGTCCGGTGCCCTTAAGAAGGAGCTCAAGCTGGACAACGGAGTGGCCGGCTTCCAGTGCCTCAAGGGATCCAGCATCAAAGGGGAGGACGCGCCTGACTTTCACGTACGTACGCGACGGTGGTCGGTAGAGACGTGGTGCGGGTAAGAGGTTTCCTGGAGAGTGTGAAGGCGTTTTTGTGGAGTATTGTCAAGGGGGGGTTGCGTTCGGGGGCACGTCGATGCATTAGTATCCTTGGTATCCTGTGGAGCGCCGTTATCGATCAACAATAACCCTCGTGGTGGAAGTTGTCCTTGGACAGATGTCCTTTTTTTGGACATGGATATCTTTTTGGATACATGCCCTTGGATACATTTCCTTGTGGATACATGTCCTTGGATAGATATGTATTCGTCCGTTGTTGACTACCTCGGTAGATTTTCCAGTTGCGCGAAACGTGTTTGGGTGCCCTGTTCTCACAAGACCTGACGCATCGCAGACACGCTCCTGAAGTAGCGCATCAGACACCCCCCCTTTGGTGGCAGTCCTCGCCTTTTGCCTTGAAGCGGCACTTTTTGGAAGCTTGTGTCTTGTCTCTGACTCCTCAATGTGTTGATTCACTCGTTCAGAGAGTTCCCTCGTCGTCCGAAAGAGCAGCACGTCATGAGAATGAGGAAGCAAACATTGTGCGATAGGGATGCCGGCGGGCACGATCTTTTATTCCCTAGCCCGTCGGATTTGGCGTGGTTAGGGCGGGCGGTCGTTTTTGTTTGGAGATCGATCGCGCCGTGCGCCTGTTTTGCTGCTGTATGTCGGGAGACACACTTTGTTGTCCCCGATATCTCTAAGCCATCGGAATATACGTGACTAGGGCGAGTCGTTCTATTTGGAGGTGAATCGTGCCGTGTGACGCTTCGCTGATGCCGCCGTTACCACTGCTGTTGCTGTGCAGCGCACTACGGAGTGCCTGAAGAAGATTGGCGTGCAGCCAGTCAGCATGGACGGGGAGCACGGGCAAGACGCCATCTTCAGGCTGATCGCGGCCATTATGCACCTCCTCAACGTCGGCTTCGAGTCAGGTGCGACGAATCTTTATATTTCTCAGATTGAATTACCGCAATGAGCAGGAGTCCGGTGTGACGATGTTTTTTTTTATTTGGGGACAGAAAGGCGTGACCAACATCGGTGTATTCAGTGTAATCGTGTGGGTCTTGTTGTAGCGCTCCTGGTGGGTTACGGTTTGCCGGTTTTTGGAGGGCGCGCGGTTGAGGCAGCTATGCTCACCTTTGTAGAAGGCATTAGATACTGAGCTCGGAATCGCATCCATATATTTATAGTCGTTCGCTACACTCCCGCAGCAATCCTCGGTGCGTCAAGGATTTAACGTGGATCGTGTTCATGTTGTTAGGATGGATCGTGTTCATGTTGTTTGGATGGATCGTGTTCATGTTAGTAGGATGGATCGTGTTCATGTTGCTAGGATGGATCGTGTTCATGTTGCTAGGATGGATCCTGCGAGCTTTCCTCCTTCGAGGCACTATTATAATAAAAAAATGATCACGACTCGTGCATATCCCTTGCCAGGATCCTGCACGCGAATCCCCCAATAAGGCGCTGAAGAATGGGCACAAAAATCAGGCGCAATCCTTGCAATAGTCGACGTGAACCGCGTACGTACCCTCACGCAGCGCCGTTTTGCGTCTACTCACGTGTCAAAACGGTCTCGTTGCGCGGTGTCTTGACGTTTTTTTTGTGTGTCATGTAATTGGTTGATGCAGTCCACGTCAACGAGGGCGAGGCTTGTGAGATCCGGGACAGCACGAGGCCCTCGTTGGCGTTCGCCGCTGAGCTGCTGGGAGTGGAGGCGGATCGGCTGGAAAAAGCGGCGGTCTCCAAGACCATGGCGGTAAGAAATTTTGAGAGTACGAGAAGAGCGTCGTTGTGGCCTCTATCGAAGCCTTGGCCTACTGAGCATCTATCCTAGCCGAGTAGGGTCACGTGGAGACTGTAATTAATATGTGGGTGGGGACTAAAATAGCGACAACCATGTAAGTGTGGCCTCTATCGCAGCTTTGTCCTATTGGGCACCCGTGTGCGAAAATCCTCTTCAGAACGGTACAATCTCTACAACGCGGTATACACCTATTATAGTTGGTGGGTAACGTGCACTTTTCCGGGTATTTGTTTTTTCCTGCCACACCGTACCGCAATGGGCACGGATGGATGTGGTGCTGTAGACGTTTGCGTAGGAACAAGGCAAGAGAGAACCAAGTACTGGCTTGTGTGGCTTGACCTTTTGGTGTATAAAAGCCTCTCTCCCTTGTTTGCTTGTGTGTCTTTGGTGCCACTTTTTTTTTTTTTCGCCTCGTATTAGGGTTATAGCCATGTGTGCCCTGTTGCCCTGTTGCCCCTGTGTGTGCGTCTCTTTTTTTGGGGCATCGACCGCGCTCACCTGCCGACCACTTTTATCGTTTGGTGGGACAGTATATACGTAAACACACTTCCTAGTTGTGGGCTCTACAGGCAGGGGGCGCAGGAGTTAGAAGAGAGTGTGCCGCGTGTGTTTGTTAATAAGTGCAGGTGCGCAGCATGGATATGATGATGCTGCACCGTTTTTTTGTCTCGCCTCGTGTGTTGACCATCACCATCTGTACCCACTCGCTTGCTTTGTTTCCCTTTACTTGTGTTGCTGCTGTTGTTGTTGTTGCTGTTGCGGCAGGTGCGCAGCTCGAACACGATGATGCTGCAGACGGTGGAGCAGGCCCATGATAAGGTGGCCGCCCTGGGCAAGGCTCTCTACAGCCAGCTCTTCCTCTGGCTCGTGGCCAAGCTCAACACCACCATATCAGCACCCCAGAGGTGAATGTGTACATGATAGTCTGTGTTCTCGCCCTGTTAACTCTCGCGACAGGTGGTGGGTGGCGGGACTGCACAAGCATACAAGACCCTGGGGCTAACCTCGATTACTTGCAACCATACCGTCGATATGTATGCAGTGCATCCTACAAATACCATTCCGTTTTCATTTTTTAACTTGTTTTTTTTTTTGCCCTGCTGTAGTAGAGGGTAGCCCCGGGTCTCGCTGTCTTGCCCTCTGTCGCGGGAGTCTAGTCTAGCCCATAGCTTGCGGCCGACGAGGGAACCATTTTCAACGCACACCCCATCTGTGTCGGTGCACCTCTACCTTTGCTTGGTTCTTCGGTGTCGGCCGCATGTGGGTCTTCAAATACACGTACTCTCTCTCGACGTTCTGCACGAGGTGGGAAAATGTGCCACCGTGCGCACTCAGCTGGGCTGATTCCCCTTTGTTGTTTCTGTTGACTCTGCTGATGGGATTCTTCCTGATTCCAACCGCTGACATAACCAAAATGGACGGTTGGAGAGATCAGACCGTTCTTTACCGCTGTCGATTTTGATATTGGCGTGGTAGGAATTAGGTACCACTGCCAACATTATAATCGACAGCGGGCAAGACCTGTCTGGTCTCTCGAGCGGTCGATTTTGGTTATGTCAGCGATTGGAATCAGGAAGAATCCCATCAGCAGAGGCAACAGAAACTGCAAAGGGAAATCAGCCCAACTGAGCGCACACGGTGGCACATGTCCCGCTTCGTGTAGAACGTTGAGATGATACGTGCACCTGAAGACCCACTTGTGGCCGACACCGAAGAGCCTAGCAAAGGTAGAGGTGCAGCGACACAGATGGGGGGTGCGTTGAAAACAGTCCCCCCGCCGAAGGAATTAGGAAGAGCCCGAACAGCAGTCAGTCAAACGAGAGGAAAAGGGATACTCGGCCCAACCGAACGGGTGCTGGGATAGTTTCTACCTTACCTCGTGCAGAATGCTACAGAGACGACGTTCATTTTCGTGGGCGTTCGAAGCCCTGTATGTATAGTAGAACGCACGGATCGGCAAGTGTGTTGCAGTTGCTCGAGGAGGTTGCACAAGGCACCAGCGCACCCCCTGAACCGATTTTCACAGCCCGGTTTCTCCGTACAATACATGTACAATTGTGGGAAAGCCGGTGACGGTGTCAAAAATGGTAGTACTGACGGCCTTGGAACCGTGTCGTCGAGAGCTTCGGCTAGCGTATGGTTTGATGCTGGCATCCTCTTGATCGTGGAGGCAATCGAGCTTTGAAATCGGTCCAGGGGGTGCGGTGTCTTATGCAGCCTGCTGTAGCCCTAGGTTTTGTCTGCTCCTGCAGTCTTACCGTCTTGCCCAATGTCTTGTTTGCTTGCGGTTGCCCGGAGCACCTTTGCGACATGCACACACCATCTCAACGTTTGCTCGTTGTCTTGCCGTTGTCAGCGACGTGTGGGGCTTCATCGGCGTGCTGGACATCTACGGCTTCGAGAAGTTCAACACCAACAGCCTCGAGCAGCTGCTCATCAACTACGCCAACGAGCACCTCCAGCGCCACTTCAACCAGTGCGTAAATAGTCTCGTATTATTGATGGATGTAGAGATACATCAGTGAATATCGATTTTGGCGAAACCTGTTCCTAGTGATGGATGGACAAGTGCAGCAGCACTTCCTACTACATAGTACAGTGGTATTAATAGTCGTGTAGTCCTAGATGGGTGTAGGCGCATCAAACACAAGAGTGACCTCTTCCGTCTAAGAAAATGTATTCCTGTAGATGACAGAACTTGAGTACCAGAGTCGCGTTCCCTGGAGTGCCTTGGGGAATTGAAAAACGTTCGAATGCCCGCGCCAACCACACCGAAAAGGCGCGCCTTTTGGCAGCCGAAATCAAGCGATGTAGGGGTGTTTACCACGGGCGACGTCCTTGGTCCAGTGGGTGAGCCCTTGTGGTTCTAACATGGCTTAGAATTTTGCTAATCGCCGCCTTTTTTTCAACACAGCTGCCACATTTTTCGCACCGCCAGGCATTCCGACATGCTTGGAACTGGGTGTGAAAGCTCTACCTTTTTTTTTAACAACGCTGCACCATTTCGTATGCATATCACCAGGCATATGTTCGAGGTGGAGCAAGTCGACTACGACAACGAGCAGATCGACTGGAGCTACATCACCTTCAACGACAACAAGGTGCACGGCCGTACATACCGTAGATACCTCACACGAACATTCACGTTCGCTGCAGACTGCAGACACCCAAAAGTTGTTCCTCGGCTGGTAGAACGCCAATGACGTCATGACAACTTGGTGGGAACTAGCGACAGCAATCTTGGTTCTTTAGTGGAGTCATGTCTCGAGAGGACAGTGGCCCGCGTTCTTCGCTACACAAGTTCCCGTTGGCTGTTGTAGTTGTAGTGCTGGTTCTTTCTTCCTTGAGGTTTGCAAATTCACCCCTAGAAGTAAAAACATTATTCGGGGGACCGCCCGCGAGATATTGAGTTTGTTGAGGAAATAGAACTGTGAGGGGGAACGCAGACCGTATTCCCTAACCCTAGCCCTAACCCTAACCCAGCTTCCCCGATTGTATTCTGTATCCAACATGTTTACTTTATCGAAACTAGAAAAACCCTGCGAAGACTACTGTGCTTGTTTGCTGTTTTTTTGTGTTCATCGGAGTCATTCGCTGTTGTGAAGCGGCGGCCTCTGTTGCCTGATTCGCTACATACGCGGTCCCGTAATTTTCTGTTGCGGTGGGCGCTTCCGCCTACAACTGCAGTTTGATCGCATTTCCTCGCTTCGAATTATACAGCAACGTTTACTCGTACATGACTGCGTTTGATTTTTTTGTTGTGTGCAGGCGTGTCTGGAGCTTATCGACGGCAAGGGCGGCCTCTTCTCCTGCCTAGACGACATACAGAGGTTTGAAGGGAAAGAGGCCAACCTCAAGTTCCTCAGCAGCTTCAAGCAGAAACACGGCCCTCCCGCTGGCGGCGGCGGCGGCGGCGGCGGCGCAAACCTGAGGTGCGCCTGCAATTTATTTGTGGTTTTCGTGCGCGTGCTGGACGTCACTCTTCACTTTTTACACCCCTCGGTATGTTTCATGGACGCACCAGCCCGGGTTACCCAGAACGAAAACCACCCTGGAGGGTTTGAAAACTCAAGATGGCGACTGACGAATACATTTTTCGGGTAACTTGTGAACTATTAGTAGCTGCGGATGGACACAACCCTGGATGACCCAGGCTGATGTTGTGTGTTAAGCGCACCCGGTCGCTTTAAGGCTGTGGGTGCTGTTGTTGTTGAAACCGTCGGTGTGTTCATGTCGTGTCTGATCGCGTCGTGTGTTGTGGCACTTGCGTCACTAGCAAAGCACGGTCTCGTGTGTTACAACACATGCCTGTTGCTCTGCGTCTCTAACGGTGTGGGTTCTCCTGGTTCGTCGTGTGGACGTTACAGGGGAAATATGGCCAAGTCCGGGTCTACGTACGGCTCCATTTCCTCTCCAGTCACGAGGTGAGTTAACCGGAGATTGAGGAAATTCGAACCAGAACGAAAAAGCAGAAGACGTGGTGACTCTTGTGAGTCGGAAATGATGTCTACACCCGCCGCTCGTGGCTCGTCTGGAACTCTTGTTCCCCTCGACTTTGCCACGAAAGGTTATATATGCTGCTGTCGAATGATCACCGTTTCCCGGTTAGTGTACAATGTGTTATTCGTACATGTAGTATTCTCGGTCGTGTGCAATGTGATATTTATATCCTTGGAAGTAGCATCATCAACGAACACCGTGCCCAGTACCTCATGTGGCGGATGTCGTTTGCTGTCAACGACGTTGGATGAAGTTGGTCCATTGCGAATGCCTTGCCATGCGCATAATATTCTTGTGTTTTTTTGTCCTTGAGTCGGCGTTGTCTTGAAGTGCAAACCCTTTCTCTGCACGGCATCTCGTTACGATAATATTTTGTTGCTGTTGTTTTGCACGACGAGTTAAATGTCGCTCTTGTTGCTGCTGTGGCTGTGTTGTTGTTGTGGTTGTTGCTGTTGCTGTTGCTGTTGTTGTTGTTGTTGTTGTTGTTGTTGTTGTTGTTGCGCAGGCGGAACTCTGTCGGCCACCCGCACTTCGTGTCGCCGCGGTTCGACCCCGACATCTCCTTCGGAATAAAGCACTACGCCGGTGAGGTTGATGCCAAAGCCAAATGGCGGCGTTGGAAGTGTCCAGTCGAGAGCTTTCCGAAAAGCTTCGTTTGATGTTATCTTCCTTTCTTGTGTGGAGAATCCGAGCTTTGACGGTCGGTCCAGGAGTTGTGATATCTCGTGCCACCTACGGCAGCTCTGGGGCCATCTTTTCACTTTCGATCCGTGACCGATGTGGTGGCTTGCGGAAGAGGTAGCTGTGTGACCAACAATCACCCTGTCCTGTTCACGTCCATGGTCATGTCAACGATGATGTGCGTGTTGTCTTGCGTGTCATAATTTACCGTCGTGCGCGTGTTTGTTGACTTGGATCTCTCAGGCGACGTGTTCTACAACGTGGCCAAGTTCAACCAAAAGAACAGGGAGAACCTCACGGCGGACATGAAGGAGCTCATGGCGTCCTCCACCAGTGCTCTCGTCGTCGATGTAAGATGGATGCCACTGACTGGTCATGAAGCATGTGTCCGATGTATGGTAGATACCACTGACTAAATAGTCATGAAGCATGTGTTCGATGTAAGGTAGATACCACTGGCTAGTCATGGAAAAATATGTGGTACGGCCGGTCAACCATTGTGAATGTTGTTAGCTTTGGTGAGAACCTGGCTATCGCAATTGATTCCTTGTGCCATGTGGAAGGCTGTGTATCGGTTATTCGCATTAATTGACGTTCTGTGTGATCTTCGGTCGACGTTCGTCAGTTGAAGAGGCGCGGGTCACGGGGATGGTAACAATCTGCTATTACTAGTCTAGAGAGATCACGAAAGGGATGGAGAAAAAATCAACAGCGTTAGTTGCTATCATTGCACTTGAGTCTTGCCTCTATCGTTGTCCAAGGCTAGATAACATGGGCATAGCCCATCCCACTCCATGTACCACCGTAAGCTCAATCCTGTACCTTCAGCCCATCCCAATTGTAATTGTTGTTGTTGTCTTCACATTAAGAACCGTTCCGATCTCTCTCTACCCAGTACCTTCGTATGTCCGTACTGATCCAACACTCGACGCGGTCGATTCCCGTGGTCACAGGTTAACTTACCCTATACCCTATACCCTGCGCTGTAAGCACTCGTCCTCACCTTCTCCCGGTGTTGGAAAAAGGTTCGCTTATTCCGGAACAACAATAATTAATTCTTAATTTTTTTTTAATATTTCAGGTATTCAAAGCCGGCGAGCAAGATGGTCAGAACGACGACGACGACGACGAAGACGCCTTCGAAGCGCCCACACGCGGTCGGGGCGGGGCCGGCGGACGCACCATCCGCTCCAAGAGCATCGGCATCCAGTTCAAGGAGAGCCTCGCCGAGCTCATGGCCACCATCGCCATCACTCACCCCAGGTTCGTACGCCGAGCCTGAACCGTCACGTGAACCTTTCCCCGAACCGTTGCCCATTTTTGCCGTTTTTAGAACCACCATTGCCATTGCTCACCCCAGGTTAGATATTTTACCCCAAAGCGTCACCTGGATCGCTGCCCGAACCACAATTGTCATCACCCACCCAGGTACGTGTTTCTTTGCCGCGAATCTGAACCGTCACCTGAACCGCATCCCTATTTAGTCGTTCTTCGAACCTGAATATTTCCATCACTCACCCCAGGTTCGTTTTTTTTGCGCGAACCTGAAATTCTGTCTCTCGTAACGCTTTCATCGTTTTCGAACCAACGTCTCCATCACTCTCGTGTTGTTATCCTATTCGTCCTATTCGTCGACAGTACAAACGTTCAACAGCGACTTGCGCAAGAGAGAAAAGAAATTGTGTTATGTTCACAAAGTATTGGAGTACTCCGGAGTACCTGGTAGCATTTTTTACGGGTTTTGTTTTGCGCAAGGCAACTACACGCCACTGCATGCGCTCACACACCGTGGTATCCCCCCCCCCCCCCCCAGGTACATCCGATGCGTCAAGCCCAACCCGGACAAGCAAAGCGGTAGGTTCGACGGCGAGGACGTTCTGCTTCAGCTGCAATACTCGGGGACCATGGAGACCATCCGCATCCGCCAGCAGGTATCTGCTGTGGTGTACCACGCTTTTTTTTTTTTTTGTGAACGTGAAGAAGAACAATCCTGTGTTTTTACCCTCCTTCCGAGTTACTCCAGCTCTGCTGCGCCACACGTGGTTGCCAGTGATGGATGTTGGGTACCTCACAGAGGGAACAAGAGCTAAGTACCTCGGCTAGCATAGAAGGCTCACCAAGTGATTTTGATGTGCTTGTCGAGTGCGCATAGTACGCCTATGGTCGAGCTGATGGTGTTTTGTAAGGTGCGTGGTAAGGTGTAAAGGGCATGTTTGCCACATCGGATTGGAGCTAATCCGTAACAGGAGGCAAAGACCATTTAGTGCACATGGCCACGGCAAATGACGCTTAGTAAAGCGGATGACGAAAGAGAAACACGCGCCGCCCGGAACGGAAACCCACCGACAGCAGCACCCCCGCAATGCGCCTGAACAAGAAGGCGAAACAAGGACAACAGATGCAGGCAGATCAGCGTTTGTGTTCTTCCTCTTTTCTGCGATGATTGTTAGCTGTGAAGCAATTTTATCTCAAACGCTCAATACTGTAAAGACGTGTTAAACACATGCCATCGATTCGGGCTTTGGCTTGATCGGGAGTACTTTCCTGTGATTGCATGCCCACCGTATTTTCTAAACCAACCTTGCATGCCAACTTCGTAAACCAACCTTGCGATGGTGGCGGGTTGCCTTGCCGCGGTGGGTGCTCTTGTCAGGGCTACGCCCTTCGCGAGCTGAAGGACGACTTCCTCAAGAAGTACAAGGTGCTGCAGCCCGACGCCGAGGACCTGGAGGCCCTCGTGGCCTACCTGAGCAGCATGCTGGGCGCTTCCCACCGCGACTGGCAGATCGGGACGTCCAAGGTGCGCCGCTTTTGCGCATAACCAACCAACTGAATCGGAGAGGGGATTGTTTTTCATGAGCTGGCTCTCATGTTGGTTTCACCACCACCACCACCACCGCGGTCTTCCCTTGGACTACTTGGTGTGGAGAAACAGTAGTACGAAATACGAAGTACTTCCGTTTTGTGGGTCAATTTTGGATCAAGGCTCGGTTTCTGATACATTTTACACCGTCGAGCTTAGACTACCATCCACCATGTGGGATGTACTTGATGTCTGATGTGGGATACACCTCGGATGCGTGCTTTCCCATCCCCAATTCCTCGTTGCCCCGGAAATTATTTTTACAACCTCCTTTTCGTAGTATAGAAACCGGGCCGGTGTCGTAGTGGTGTTTCGTACCTTTAATAGCTGCATCGCGAACGCAGGCCGCTATGGTAGGATGTTTCCTATACTTGAAGTACCAGATAGCCACACTTACAAGGCTGGCCGGTAATGATGTCTCGTAATAGTAGGTGAACTGCTGTGTGCCCAGAGAAAACAGCTTGGTCCTGCTGCAAACTCTCGCTCGGCGGAGGAAGGTATTAGCTGATCAGGGGCGTGACTCTGTCGATTCCAGCCTCATTGAAGAGCCCGAGGCCGTTCGTGTTTCTCGTCTTGAGACAAATGTGAAATGCGACGGGGGTCCATCAGACCGCTCTAGAACGAGGATGGTGTTGAAACAGGTGTTTTCATTTTGTTTACAAACACCTAAAAACATTATTTCATATCGTTAATTAATGAGTCCAGGATATATAACTGGTAGCAGTTTGTTCATTATGTTGTAGACCCTCCTGTGCTTCTACACAGCTGTATTGTTGTCGGCATTGCGTGCAACGAAAACTTTACTCATCATCCACCTGCCACCGCTGGTCGGAAAACCTTGGTTGGTTGCTGTTGGGTCGAAACGGCAGGTTTTCCTCCGCACGTCCATGTCGGACAAGCTCAACCTCATGGTGGACCTTCGGAAGAAGTGCGCCACCCGCGTCATCCAGCGCTGGGTGGTCAACACCAGGCGAAGGAGTGTTGTGCGTACCACGCTGCAGGTAAAGAAAAATGAAAACACGGTACTGCTCGGGGCTGTAAGGATCAAAGTCAAGGGAGCACAGCCCCCCCCCCCCCCCCCCCCCCCCCCC